ACACCAGGACATAGTTACAATGCAATACTGTGAAAAGATGTACAGGGTTGCATGTTGAAGGATGTTACTGTATATAACACACCAGGACACAGTAACAATGCAATACTGTGGAAAGATGTACAGGGTTGCATGTTATATAACACACCAGGACATAGTTACAATGCAATACTGTGAAAAGATGTACAGGGTTGCATGTTGAAGGATGTCACTGTATATAACACACCAGGACATAGTAACAATGCAATACTGTGGAAAGATGTACAGGGTTGCATGTTGAAGGATGTTACTGTATATAACACACCAGGACACAGTAACAATGCAATACTGTGGAAAGATGTACAGGGTTGCATGTTATATAACACACCAGGACATAGTTACAATGCAATACTGTGAAAAGATGTACAGGGTTGCATGTTGAAGGATGTTACTGTATATAACACACCAGGACACAGTAACAATGCAATACTGTGGAAAGATGTACAGGGTTGCATGTTGAAGGATGTTACTGTATATAACACACCAGGACACAGTTACAATGCAATACTGTGGAAAGATGTACTGGGTTGCATGTTGAAGGATGTTACTGTATATAACACACCAGGACACAGTAACAATGCAATACTGTGGAAAGATGTACAGGGTTGCATGTTATATAACACACCAGGACATAGTAACCATGCAATACTGTGAAAAGATGTACAGGGTTGCATGTTGAAGGATGTTACTGTATATAACACACCAGGACACAGTAACAATGCAATACTGTGGAAAGATGTACAGGGTTGCATGTTATATAACACACCAGGACATAGTTACAATGCAATACTGTGGAAAGATGTACAGGGTTGCATGTTGAAAGATGTTACTGTATATAACACACCAGGACACAGTTACAATGCAATACTATGAAAAGATTTACACAGAGTTGCATGTTATATAACACACCAGGACATAGTTACAATGCAATACTATGAAAAGATGTACATGGTTGCATGTTATATAACAAACCAGGACATAGTTACAATGCAATACTATGAAAAGATGTACAGGGTTGCATGTTATATAACACACCAGGACATAGTTACAATGCAATACTGTGAAAAGATGTACAGAGTTGCATGTTGAAGGATGTTACTGTATATAACACACCAGGACATAGTAACAATGCAATACTGTAGAAAGATGTACAGGGTTGCATGTTGAAGGATGTTACTGTATATAACACACCAGGACACAGTTACAAAGCAATACTGTGGAAAGATGTACAGGGTTGCATGTTGAAGGATGTTACTGTATATAACACACCAGGACACAGTAACAATGCAATACTGTGGAAAGATGTACAGGGTTGCATGTTATATAACACACCAGGACATAGTTACAATGCAATACTGTGAAAAGATGTACAGGGTTGCATGTTGAAGGATGTTACTGTATATAACACACCAGGACACAGTAACAATGCAATACTGTGGAAAGATGTACAGGGTTGCATGTTATATAACACACCAGGACATAGTTACAATGCAATACTGTGGAAAGATGTACAGGGTTGCATGCTGAAGGATGTCACTGTATACAGCAAACCAGGACATAGTAACAATGCAATACTGTGAAAAGATGTACAGGGTTGCATGTTGAAGGATGTTACTGTATATAACAAACCAGGACATAGTTAAACTGCAACACTGTGAAAACATGTACAGAGTTTTCATGTTATATAACACACCAGGACACAGTAACAATGCAATACTGTGGAAAGATGTACAGGGTTGCATGTTAAAGGATGTCACTGTATGCAACAAACCAGGACATTGTTACAATGCAATACTGTGAAAAGATGTACAGGGTTGCATGTTGAAGGATGTTACTGTATATAACAAACCAGGACATAGTTAAACTGCAACACTGTGAAATCATGTACAGAGTTTTCATGTTATATAACACACCAGGACATATTTACAATGCAATACTGTGAAAAGATGTACAGGGTTGCATGTTGAAGGATGTTACTGTATATAACAAACCAGGACATAGTTAAACTGCAACACTGTGAAAACATGTACAGAGTTGCATGTTATATAACACACCAGGACATAGTTACAATGCAATACTGTGAAAAGATGTACACAGAGTTGCATGTTGAAGGATGTCACTGTATATAACACACCAGGACATAGTTACAATGCAATACTGTGAAAAGATGTACAGGGCTGCATGTTGAAGGATGTCACTGTATATAACACACCAGGACATAGTTACAATGCAATACTGTGGAAAGATGTACATGGTTGCATGTTGAAGGATGTCACTGTATATAACACACCAGGACATAGTTACAATGCAATAGCGTGAGAAGATGTACAGAGTTGCATGTTGAAGGATGTCACTTTACATAACAAACCAGGACATAGTTACAATGCAATACTGTGAAAAGATGTACAGGGTTGCATGTTGAATGATGTTACTGTATATAACACACCAGGACATAGTTAAACTGCAACACTGTGAAAACATGTACAGAGTTGCATGTTATATAACACACCAGGACATAGTTACAATGCAATACTGTGAAAAGATGTACACAGAGTTGCATGTTGAAGGATGTCACTGTATATAACACACCAGGACATAGTTACAATGCAATACTGTGAAAAGATGTACAGGGCTGCATGTTGAAGGATGTCACTGTATATAACACACCAGGACATAGTTACAATGCAATACTGTGGAAAGATGTACATGGTTGCATGTTGAAGGATGTCACTGTATATAACACACCAGGACATAGTTACAATGCAATAGTGTGAGAAGATGTACAGAGTTGCATGTTGAAGGATGTCACTTTACATAACAAACCAGGACATAGTTACAATGCAATACTGTGAAAAGATGTACAGGGTTGCATGTTGAATGATGTTACTGTATATAACACACCAGGACATAGTTACAATGCAATACTGTGAAAAGATGTACAGGGTTGCATGTTGAAGGATGTCACTGTATATAACACACCAGGACATAGTTACAATGCAATACTGTGAAAAGATGTACAGGGTTGCATGTTGAAGGATGTCACTGTATATAACACACCAGGACATAGTAACAATGCAATACTGTGGAAAGATGTACAGGGTTGCATGTTATATAACACACCAGGACATAGTTACAATGCAATACTGTGAAAAGATGTACAGGGTTGCATGTTGAAGGATGTCACTGTATATAACACACCAGGACACAGTTACAATGCAATACTGTGAAAAGATGTACAGGGTTGCATGTTGAAGGATGTCACTGTATATAACACACCAGGACATAGTTACAATGCAATACTGTGGAAAGATGTACAGGGTTGCATGTTGAAGGATGTCACTGTATATAACACACCAGGACATAGTAACAATGCAATACTGTGGAAAGATGTACAGGGTTGCATGTTATATAACAAACCAGGACACAGTTACAATGCAATACTGTGAAAAGATGTACAGGGTTGCATGTTGAAGGATGTTACTGTATATAACACACCAGGACATAGTAACCATGCAATACTGTGAAAAGATGTACAGGATTGCATGTTGAATGATGTTACTGTATATAACACACCAGGACACAGTTACAATGCAATACTGTGAAAAGATGTACAGGGTTTCATGTTGAAGCAAGTTTGTGTTTGCAACAAACCAAGGCATAGCAAAAACCCAACAGTTATACTGACTGACTGAGTTTGGTTTTACGCCGCTTTTAGCAATATTCCAGCAACATCACGGCGGTCCAACATTTATAACAGATGCAATAATTTGAAACGATGTACAAATTTGCATGTTGAATCAAGTTAGTGTATATAACAGCAAACATTTATCACTGATGCAATAAGTGAGACAGCCGTCTGTGTGTGTGTGTGTGTGTTTGTGTGTGTGTGTGTGTGTGTGTGCGCGCGCGCGTGTGTCGGTATGTATTTTGTCATTGTTCAATTTTTTATTGAGGAATGTCGTGAATAACTAAAATGACTATAATTTCTTCATGTAATTTTGTTCCCAACAACAGTGTAACTGGGCTTATTGACCCTGAACATGTTTCATTGTATATATGTCTCACAGTAAATAAAATTCTGTTTAGTTTAGAGAGTCTTATTGGTGAACTACGGTGTTATATTGTGAGTTACAAACTGTAAATAGAGACAAAGAAAACCGTTAACTTTGAAAAAGGTGGAAGTTACCATGTAATGAAAAACCTTTCACAAGAGAGAATATTTAGAAACACGTTCTGTCAATAAACATGTTATTTGGTGTTTACTGTACAAATCACCTTTCCTGCATATTGCATGACAGATATAATGTTTGAATGGCATTCAATAAATGTTGGTAAGCAAACATGGAAACATACAACTTCAAGGATAACAACTTCCTGCTTATTACAATTAGTGACATTTCCATGTAGATTCGCAAACCGTCAATCCTGGGGGCCTCATAGTGGGTTTGTTGTTTTACGCCGCACTCAGCAATATTCCAGCTATATGGCGGCGGTCTGTAAATACACGAGTGAGGACCAGACATTACAGTGGTCAACAGCATGAGCATCGATCTACGCAATTGGGATACGATGACATGTGTAAACCAAGTCAGAGAGCCTGACCACCCGATCCCGCTTGTCACCTCTTACGACAAACAAGGGTTGCTGAAGACCAGTTCTAACCTGGTCTTTCGATCTACATGGGTACGAAAGGCTACATAGGAAATGTCGACATTTCGATTGCTTTTCATATTACGTTAAAACGCGTGAAACAGTCTCACCATGCCAACATGACATCTATAGTTTACTTATTCTGCTGTGATAAAATAGGGTATAGAATGCGTACAACCATTCTGAACAGCCCTTGTGACTATAACTGTGTGGGCTGAACGGGACTGACGCCGCCTTGAAAGTTAGAAGTTTTATGACTGGGACATGGTAGTGTGCCAATAGTGACAAGATCAAGTGTCAGTAGTAAACACGGTTGAACTTCCTTGTTCGTATTTATTGTAGCTGTCGTCTCAACCATGGTGAAGATGTTGCCGATAATATTGAAGTTTGTGTTGATACAGCTTTGCCTTGGAGTAATTCATTCTGAACTGGGTATGTTCTTGCTATTTACTTTCGTTTAAATTGGGTAATGTTCACCTCCGATATATTTCAGTACATGGTAGTCATTGTGTGGTCACTGACAGAAGGTGACGTGCAGTATTAGATCAGGTATTAGAAGTGTAGCATTAGTGTGGGTCATTTGACATGTCTATACTTATTGTCATTTGAGTTGATTATGTATACATCATTTTAAAGAATGTCGCATTTGTAATTATAGGTCACACTAATATCTTCAAATAATTTTGTTACCATGTACAGTACATGGTTGTGTTTTTACATGTACAGTACAACCGCAGCCATATTGACGCAACAGTGTAGTTATGTGTGACCGTGCTTATGAATGATGTTATGAATATGTTCTTTGTGTAGCACAAACACGGGGAGTATCATAGAACACACTGTCTACTTCCTTAGCGGAGATGTATAGAGGCACGTCAATACGCCCTGCAAGTGTGTGGTTTAGTATTGGCAGTGTTACGACTGCATTAATAATAAAACTTAAATTGTTATACTTGCAGCAAACTGGCAGCATTCTACGCATTGCATAATCTTTTGAAATGTCTTCAATGTCGTTTCAGAGACGTTATGTTAAGCAAACACAGACAACATGCATATATTTTTGGTGTTAATCTGAGTACATATGCCATGTAACATAAAGACATATGTGACCCCTGAAGTTACCTCTTAGAGTGAGTGAGTGAGCTTAGCTTTACGCCGCTTTTAGCAATATTCCAACAATATCATGGTGGGGGACACCAGAAATGGGTTTGATACAGTGTACCCATGTGGGGAATCGAACCCGGGTCTTCAGCGTGACGAACGAACGGTATCCACTGGGCTACCCCACCGCCCCTTCAGCAACCCATGTTTGTCGGCGACTGACGGGATCGGGTGGTCAGGCTCTCTGACTTGGTTGACACATGTCATCGTATCCCAATTGCATAGATCGATGCTCATGCAGTTGATCATTAGATTGTCTCACTCACTTACTCACTCACTCACTCACTCACCCACCCAAATATCAATGAATATCAGTGACGACAGCGGGTGTTCGGGAAAGGTTAAGCATATACTGCCCTTGGGGTAGCACCCGCCTTCCGGAAGACAGAACATATTTGTTAGTTAACATTGCTCTATTTTCAACTTTGAGGGTATGTATAAAGTTCATTCGGAAGCGTTACAAACGTTAGGGATTCTAAATAAAGTTATGCCTTCGCTACTGTGTTCAACACGCTAATGTTTTATGGTTGCTCCTTGGACGTTTTGTCTAAAACTTTTCACAGATGATTTTCATGATCTTGGATCCAAAGCAGTATTTGGAAGCACAGTGGAAGTGAAATCATTATTTGAAATGAACTACCTGTCAAGTCTGTAAAAAGGAGTGCCTTAAAAATAATTTCTTTCGCGGTGATGTGGTCATCAGAATGTGTGTCTATCGCTGGTTAGATACCGCTGGCAGTGTAAAATATCATGAATCATTGGATGTATCCACTTTGATGTCGGGTGGCCGCAGCGTCCTACAAAAATATATTAAAAAACCCAAACAAACAAAACAACAACAAACAAAACACACACGAAAAAACGTCAATAGATTCTACTTGTTTTTAAGCTGCCAGGCGCTAGATATTAAACAAGGACTGGTTAGAGTCAGTCTGTTGGACTGACTTATCAACACCCAACTAGGAATGGTATTGGTAAGTAGGCTACTTCTTAAGCGGTATTAATTAAAGCTGGTACGCACGTACGTAAGCACACACACCCTCCCTCCCTCCCTCCCTCTCTCTCTGGCTCACATTCTGTCACGCGCGCGCGCGCTCGCTCACACACACACACACACACACACACACACACACTTCGCGTAGTCTTTCTTATCTCCGTCAGCATACCTCGGCAATATGAACACATGAAAGAGTTATATCCGTCTTAGTTCAGTGGAAGTGGTGGTATCGGAGAAAATATCTTTTCCCCTTTTCCACTAGTTGCCCTTTATTTTGCCTCTGGGACATCTTCTGTGCCTGACTATGAACCAATGTATTTTCTTCTAAAGGTGAAACAACGTTGTGTCAAAGTTGAATGAACCCGCGGTAAATACTTAAATACGAAATATGTAAAGTGACCACTAAATAAGTGACCCGTGAAGGTCCGGGTTAGAATATTGGCCTTCAGTAACCCATGGATGCTTGTCGTAAGAGGCGACTAACGGGATCAGGTGGTCAGGTTCTCTGACTTGGTTGACACATGTCATCGGTTCCCAATTGTGCAGATCGATGCTCATGCTGTTGATGACTGGATTGTCTGGTCCAGACTCGATTATTTACATACCGCCGCCATATAGCTGAAATATTGCCGAGTGCGGCGTAAAACTCAGCTCACTCATTCACTCATTAAATAAGGAGCAAGAGATCAGCTTTTACTTCGAGACAGCCGTACATTCGACACTTCAAAGTTCGACACTTCATAGTTTGATACTTCACAGTTCGACACATCGGTGTAATTCCCTTCACCTGCTATGACACAAATACTTCCAGATTAACTATGCTTTATTTAACTGTTTATCAGATCGTTATTTTCATCTGTCCGTACTTTCAGTGAATATTGCACTAAACAAAGCGACAACAACCATGAGCTCAGGTATTGAAACTAACACCGGACAAGGGGCTGTGGACGGCAGTGCCAACGACGTCAACTGCACCGCTTTGGTCACAACGAGTAACGAGGTAGCCTGGTTGCGGATTGATCTTGAAACGACCGTCAAAGTGCACATCATTGTGATACACCCAGGATCACAGTGTGAGTTGTAGAGTGGAGTATTTAGTGTCATAACACAGTATTAAATAAGGGAAACCTAATGAGCGAGCGCAGTACATTGTCATTTTTTGTCTTGTTTTATTTTAAAACGATTATACACAATGTAAAAACGTATCAACACATGATGGTATTTAATGGGCCCCCTCTGACATCAAACCTTTGCTTCCAAATTCCGTCTAAAGATAACAAGGAATTTTTCAACAAATCGAACATTTCAACTCTATCGCAGTAAAGCGAAATATATAAGTGGTTTGCCGAAACCATATATTCTTTGAATGTCATTGTAAAGTGCACCCAAAACCCCCCGAAAATTCCTACACATTGGGAAAGATGTTTACAAGATATTTATATAAAATAACACTGCTATTTCTTTGGGGAGCATTATTTCATTATATGTAGGCAGTTTCATTCCTCAAGGAAACACAAGTATACTACCCAGCAGTTTCGTGTTTAAATAGCATGCTAGTGTAAAGCCAACTATGCATATTTACGATTTAAATCTATAATCACAAGAATAGATATTCCTAAACTGTACGCACTGTAACCAAAAACATATACAATACTCACAAGCATGGCACTGTCACAAACAGGGACACAAATGCAATTGTTTTACGGACGCAGAGGGAGGTAAAACCTGAGGAATCCTTTTTCGAATGACTATGGTTTTGATACAGGAAACGTATTTTTATGTACATGATAGTATGGGTAATGACGTTAAGTCTTACATCATAACATTCGCAAAAGATGAAGACCATCCAAAAACACAATACATAGCAAAACCAGGAGGCACATATCTGCCTGACAAAATCAGTACCATTTAAGTTAACTAAACTATTTTCTCTTTGAATGATCATTTTGAAATAGCTGGTGTGATTGCAGCCTCCAGTAACCTCACCTGGCACAGACCGCAGGTGTACGTATCTAACAGGCCGGAGATAACCAGTCGTCCTGATGATGAAGACCTCTGCAATCTGCTCAGCAGCACATTGGCATCCAGCTTGAATGCCACCTGTGGAAACAGAGGCCGCTTCGTCTTTGTCAGAAACATCCATAGCTTCTATCTCTGTGAGGTCCTGGTGTATGGTGAGTAGGTAGGCTAGAGTCTGTTTATATCAAAGATCCATAGCTTCTACCTCTGTGAGGTCCTGATGTATGGTGAATAGGTAGGATAGAGTCTGTTTGTGTAAAAGATCTATAGCTTCTATCTCTGTGAGGTATTGGTGTATGGTGAGTAGGTAGGCCATAGTCTGTTTGTATCGAACATCCATAGCTTCTACCTCTGTGAGGTCCTGGTGTATGGTGAGTAGGTAGGCTAGAGTCTGTTTGTATCAAAGATCCATAGCTTCTATCTCTGTGAGGTCCTGGTGTATGGTGAGTAGGTAGGCCATAGTCTGTTTACATCAAACACCCATAGCTTCTATCTCTGTGAGGTATTGGTGTATGGTGAGTAGGTAGGCCATAGTCTGTTTACATCAAAGACCCATAGCTTCTATCTCTGTGAGGTCCTGGTGTATGGTGAGTAGGTAGGCCATAGTCTGTTTGTATCGAACATCCATAGCTTCTATCTCTGTGAGGTCCTGGTGTATGGTGAGTAGGTAGGCTAGAGTCTGGTTGTATCAAACACCCATAGCTTCTATCTCTTTGAGGTCCTGGTGTAGGGTGAGTAGGTAGGCCATAGTCTGTTTGTATCGAACATCCATAGCTTCTACCTCTGTGAGGTCCTGGTGTAGGGTGAGTAGGTAGGCTATAGTCTATTTGTATCAAACACCCATAGCTTCTATCTCTGTGAGGTCCTGGTGTATGGTGAGTAGGTAGGCCATAGTCTGTTTACATCAAAGACCCATAGCTTCTATCTCTGTGAGGTCCTGGTGTATGGTGAGTAGGTAGGCCATAGTCTGTTTGTATCGAACATCCATAGCTTCTATCTCTGTGAGGTCCTGGTGTATGGTGAGTAGGTAGGCTAGAGTCTGTTTGCATCAAAGATCCATAGCTTCTATCTCTGTGAGGTCCTGGTGTATGGTGAGTAGGTAGGCTAGAGTCTGTTTACATCAAACACCCATAGCTTCTATCTCTGTGAGGTCCTTGTGTATGGTGAGTTGGTTGGCTAGAGTCTGTTTGTATCGAACATCCATAGCTTCTATCTCTGTGAGGTCCTGGTGTATGGTGAGTAGGTAGGCCATAGTCTGTTTGTATCGAACATCCATAGCTTCTATCTCTGTGAGGTCCTGGTGTATGGTGAGTAGGTAGGCTATAGTCTGTTTGTATCGAACATCCATAGCTTCTATCTCTGTGAGGTCCTGGTGTATGGTGAGTAGGTAGGCTAGAGTCTGTTTGCATTAAAGATCCATAGCTTCTACCTCTGTGAGGTATTGGTGTATGGTGAGTAGGTAGGCTAGAGTCTGTTTACATCAAACACCCATAGCTTCTACCTCTGTGAGGTATTGGTGTATGGTGAGTAGGTAGGCTAGAGTCTGTTTACATCAAACATCCATAGCTTCTACCTCTGTGAGGTCCTGGTGTATGGTTAGTAGGTAGGCTAGAGTCTATTCGTATCAAACACCCATAGCTTCAATCTCTGTGAGGTCCTGGTGTATGGTGAGTAGGTAGGCTATAGTCTATTTGTATCAAACATCCATAGCTTCTGCCTCTGTGAGGTATTGGTGTATGGTGAGTAGGTAGGCTAGAGTCTGTTTGCATTAAAGATCCATAGCTTCTACCTCCGTGGGGTCCTGGTGTAGGGTGAGTAGGTAGGCTATAGTCGGTTTGTATCAAAGATCTATAGCTTCTATCTCTGTGAGGTCCTGGTGTATGGTGAGTAGGTAGGATAGAGTCTGTTTGTATCGAACATCCATAGCTTCTTCCTCTGTGAGGTCCTGGTGTATGGTTAGTAGGTAGGCTATAGTCTATTTGTATCAAAGATCCATAGCTTCTTCCTCTGTGAGGTCCTGGTGTATGGTGAGTAGGTAGGCTATAGTCTGTTTACATCAAACACCCATAGCTTCTTCCTCTGTGAGGTCCTTGTGTATGGTGAGTAGGTAGGCTAGAGTCTGTTTACATCAAACATCCATAGCTTCTACCTCTGTGAGGTCCTGGTGTATGGTTAGTAGGTAGGCTAGAGTCTGTTTGTATCGAACATCCATAGCTTCTATCTCTGTGAGGTCCTGGTGTATTGTGAGTAGGTAGGCTATAGTCTGTTTGTATCGAACATCCATAGCTTCTACCTCTGTGAGGTCCTGGTGTATGGTGAGTAGGTAGGCTATAGTCTATTTGTATCAAAGATCCATAGCTTCTATCTCTGTGAGGTCCTGGTGTATGGTGAGTAGGTAGGCTAGAGTCTGTTTGTATCGAACATCAATAGCTTCTACCTCTGTGAGGTCCTGGTGTATGGACCCGTGAAGATCCGGGGTAGAATAGGTCTTCGGCAACCCATGTGCTTGCCATAAAAGGCGACTATGCTTGTCGTAAAAGGCGACTAACGGGATCGGGTGGTCAGTTTCGCTGACTTGGTTGACACATGTCATCGGTTCCCAATTGCGCAGATCGATGCTCATGCTGTTGATCACTGGATTGTCTGGTCCAGACTCGATTATTTACAGACCGCCGCCATATAGCTGGGATATTGCTGAGTGCGGCGTAAAACTAAACTCACTCACTCACTCACTAATGGTGTATGGTGAGTAGGTAGGCTATAGTCTGTTTGTATCAAAGATCCATATCTTCTACCTTTGTGAGGTCCTGGTGTATGGTGAGTAGGTAGGCTATAGTCTGTTTGTATCAAAGATCCATAGCTTCTACCTTTGTGAGGTCCTGGTGTATGGTGAGTTGGTTGGCTAGAGTCGGTTTGTATCAAAGATCCATAGCTTCTACCTCTGTGAGGTCCAAGTGTATGGTGAGTAGGTAGGCTATAGTCTATTTGTATCAAAGATCCATGGCTTCTACCTCTGTGAGGTCCTGGTGTATGGTGAGTAGGTAGGCTAGAGTCGGTTTGTATCATTCTGAGTAAATACAGTCAGTTTATCTCAACAGTCAATTTATGTCCTTGAATGTGATATTTTACTGCCATTTTATTAAATTGACATAACTTTCATTGTGTTTGTGAACATACAGTCACAGAAGTTACATTTTACGCCGCGAAGAGCAACAACATTTCCAATGTGGCGTTAAGGAAATTTTCACTCACTTGCTCAGGATGTTTGGTAGCGATGTATAGTCACATAAATATGACAGTTTCTGTAACCATCAGATGACAATGTACTCAGCCTCAGAACACAAGGCCCTTTAAGCCATCGGTTACCCTTGCATCCTAACCATCAGCATCAATTTATCTTCACGTTCTAAGACCTTGAAACCTCTCAACTCATCCATCATCCTAGCTTAAACGCGTAGGAACCTGCCTTACACAATCAGCTCATCTTGCATCATATGTTAGAACATCATTTAACTTCTGCCTCAGAGCACAATAGGAACCTTACCTAATACTGGATCCGTGGTGTGTTTCAAAGAAGCTGTTCTAACATGGTATTCCTATGGAATCCGAGAAGGGACATTGTCGCGTTGTCGCATTGTCGCGTGTCGCGTTTTAGTAAATTTTTAGGCTGTTTTTACACGTCTTACATAGGGCGACAATGCGACAACGCGAGATATTTTGACCTTGAAAATTGTCGCTATGTCGTGTGTCGCCCTTTGGAGGAATTGTTTTTTAAAATCAAAACGCGACATCGCGACAATGCGACAAATGGGCGAAATGTCGCGTTGTCGCGATGTCGCGATGTCGCGTGTCGCATTTGGTTAATTATGCTTCATTTTGCTTGCATTTGAGAGGGCGACAACGCGACAATGTCCCTTCCAGGATTCCATATCTTCCAGTAAAACCTTCACCACTGTTTTCCTTTCTGTGGCCCAGTGTGCTCAAACGGCAGCTATGGGCCCGACTGTTCACAGAGATGCGGGTATTGTGGAGGGGGGTCCTGTGATGCAGAGACTGGCGTGTGTGGGAGTGGAGGCTGCTTGGAGGGGTATTCTGGAACAAACTGTAACATACACAGTCCTAATTCAGGTAACACTACATGGTGACTTTACTGTGTAATTCAACGATGCATGGTGGACCAACACAGGGCATTTAAATGCCTCTTTAGGGTCTTTGTCATACACGATCTCTTCTTTAAGTGACATTTAGAAGCTAGTATGATGAAGAGGCACATATCTTATGAACTGACAACTTTTTTATTGCAATAGATGTGACGTTCCGATGTAGATGCTTTATCTAACACTTGCTTAATAACAATAATAGCATCTACCCCGAACGTTGCATCTATTGCAATACATAAGTTGTCAATCCATAAAATGTGTTCCTCTACTTGAAGTTCTGCTTTCCGTTTTAACGTACATTATTTTCAACTCGGCAAGTTATCCATTCCTGTGGTGAAATGATATTTCCAACTTTGGCGGGACAGTATTTTTTGCCGGAAATCTGATACCACTATGAGTGTGTCATTGGTTTATCAAATATCAAATATAGGTCTTTATTGCTAAGAAGACGTTTGGTTTTCTGCCAACAAATGCTAGACAAAGGAAAAACCTACTTTTGACATCTATCTCATCAAAATACTTTACATAGTTAATTCAGTGACCTGATTTCTCGTTGACAAAAGTGTTTATTTTCAATGGTGTGGTCCTCTGTCTGACAACGTGTGTGGTATGACCTGCACTGCCACTTCCGGGTTTGTTTAAGCTTTACGCTTCATGTTTCTGTTCAGGGATGTCAGCACCCGTTGCCGCAGTCATTGGTGCCGTCATTATGCTTTTCCTGATAATAGCAGTTGTGGCTGCTATTTGCTGTTTCTTCTACTGTAGAGTTCGCAGGAACACAAGGTGAGACCGAAACAAATTTCAACTGGGATTTAAAAAAAATAAATTATGTGTTTGTTGTAACTCATAGATATATATTTAGTTGATTAGTCCACAGAGTGCACACCTTATTTACCAGTGTTCATTAGGCTTTAACAGTTTTGATGAATGTAACATTTTTGTTAAATAACTGTACAATATGTGTCTTTTTAACTGAACGAAGCTGTGCGTTATAGCCTTGAGAGTGAACAACGCTGATTCTTGCAAGTTGGTAAGCTTTGTAGTATTCCCTTAGCAGTGGGAGTTCAAGAGCTTTGTCGTTGTCACTGTGTGAGTCGATAGTAAAGTTTTGAGTAATAGGGACCGGAGAGAAAATTAATTGTCTCATCTAACTAGAATTGAAATGAATTGTATTTCTTCTTTTTCAATCATTAGTTAAATCCATCCATATTAATAAATTACGAACATTTTATGCACGTTTCTTAAAATCCTCAATGTGTCGCATGTAGTCGTTTAAAGCGCTCTGGACACTCGAACCGCCGAGGTACCGTAAATCCGCTGGACAGAGAGAGCTCCACTCGTTTCAGGCAATTTCTACACATGAAGCCGCAGTGTTAATTACTGCGCAGGGTAATGCGCTGGGTGTGATTAACTTGAATTCACTCACTCTGGATACCATGGACAGTTTCAGCTAAAAGCAAATCCATAATACATATGTGTGTGTGTCAGTATACTGTGCGGTGTGATGGTATCTCTGTTACACTGCAGTGTAGTACCTCATAGGTAAGCACTGGTCAAACAGACATTAGTCGGGGCTCGTACAAGCAGGCTGTACCATAAACCCCCTCCCACCCAACACACGTACACGCACCTCACTACGAAAGAGCAATAAGCCCTCATAACCTCCTTTTCACCCAACATTCCCTCGTCATCTTTTCTTTTTGTGTTGTCTCAGTGGGGCTGGTCCAATCAGTCGTCGGCATTCTGAAGACCGGGTAAATAACAACAGTCGTCAAGGGATACTAAGTCGGTCATATGTTCGCTTCACAAGTCTCTTCAGAACCCCAAGAGAACCGGTCGTTGATGTTCATCAGACACGTCGCAAGTCCATCGACCGTAGATCTACACAAGATCCACCGCGAAACGACGTCTACGTCCGCAAGAAGTCAGTAACGTAAGTGATAATATGTATTTTTCCCGAACGTAAACCGTCTTCAAGCAAACTGTTTATCATTTGTTTTCTTGGTAACGTGCGCCTTAACGTTGTTCGGGGCCGACATGCCAATAGAACAGTACATCAGTTAGCCCTGAAGGACTATTGTTAATATTTTTGTTTTCTGTTTGTTTTCTACCTTAGTTTAAGCGTTGATATGTTTTAAATTTGGCTTCTTAGAATTCTTTATTACATTATACGAACTGTTTTTCTTAATTAACGTGTTATATAGTCTCTACTATCAACATTCTCGTAACAATGGGAGAGGACAATCCAAGTTTTGGTAGCCTATTAACCTTCCTTTACATGTGATTAAAAGGTATGTGTTTAAACTAAAAAGTAACAAAATTACTTGTTCACGGTGATCACCAATACGCACTATACAACTGGGATATTAAATGCAATATTGATGCCATTAACAGATTTGGATAATTATGGCTCTTTATGCAATGTATGTGATTTGTATAGAGGAAGTGACAGGTGGTGACAGGTGACCGTATATGGTGCCATAATGCTGACAGTCACTGATGCTATGAGTGATCGTCATTGATACAAGTGGTGACAGGTGACCGTCTATGGTAACATAATGCTGACAATGCTGACAGTCACTGATGCTATGAGTGATCGTCATTGATACAAGTGGTGACAGGTGACCGTATATGGTGCCATAATGCTGACAGTCACTGATGCTATGAGTGCTCGTCCTTGATACAAGTGGTGACAGGTGACCGTCTATGGTGCCATAATGCTGACAGTCACTGATGCTATGAGTGCTCGTCGTCTTGGTATAATGCTGAGTGGTGACAGGTGACCGTATATGGTGCCATAATGCTGACAGTCACTGATGCTATGAGTGCTCGTCCTTGATACAAGTGGTGACAGGTGACCGTCTATGGTACCATAATGCTGACAGTCACTGATGCTATGAGTGCTCGTCCTTGATACAAGTGGTGACAGGTGACCGTATATGGTGCCATAATGCTGACAGTCACTGATGCTATGAGTGCTCGTCCTTGATACAAGTGGTGACAGTGACCGTGACAGGATGACCGTCCTTGATATGGTGACCATAATAATGCTGACAGTCACTGATGCTATGAGTGCTCGTCCTTGATACAAGTGGTGACAGGTGACCGTATATGGTGCCATAATGCTGACAGTCACTGATGCTATGAGTGATCGTCCTTGATACAAGTGGTGACAGGTGACCGTCTATGGTACCATAATGCTGACAGTCACTGATGCTATGAGTGCTCGTCCTTGATACAAGTGGTGACAGGTGACCGTCTATGGTGCCATAATGCTGAGTCACTGATGCTATGAGTCTCGTCCTTGATACAAGTGGTGACAGGTGACCGTCTACCATAATGCTATCACTGGTATGAGTGCTCCATAATGCCGTGACAGTCACTGATGCTATGAGTGCTCGTCCTTGATACAAGTGGTGACAGGTGACCGTCTATGGTACCATAATGCTGACAGTCACTGATGCTATGAGTGATCGTCCTTGATACAAGTGGTGACAGGTGACCGTATATGGTGCCATAATGCTGACAGTCACTGATGCTATGAGTGCTCGTCCTTGATACAAGTGGTGACAGGTGACCGTATATGGTGCCATAATGCTGACAGTCACTGATGCTATGAGTGCTCGTCCTTGATACAAGTGGTGACAGGTGACCGTCATGGTGATAATGCCGTCACTGATGCTATGAGTGCTCGTCATACATGCTGACAGGTGACCGTATATGGTGCCATAATGCTGACAGTCACTGATGCTATGAGTGATCGTCCTTGATACAAGTGGTGACAGGTGACCGTCTATGGTGCCATAATGCTGACAGTCACTGATGCTATGAGTGATACAAGTGATGATCGTCCTTGATACAAGTGGTGACAGGTGACCGTATATGGTGCCATAATGCTGACAGTCACTGATGCTATGAGTGCTCGTCCTTGATACAAGTGGTGACAGGTGACCGTAGGTGACTGACAGTCACTGATGCTATGAGTGCTCGTCCTTGATACAAGTGGTGACAGGTGCCGTCTATGGTGCCATAATGCTGACGGTCACTGTCACTGATGCTATGAGTGCTCGTCCTTGATACAAGTGGTGACAGGTGACCGTATATGGTGCCATAATGCTGACAGTCACTGATGCTATGAGTGCTCGTCCTTGATACAAGTGGTGACAGGTGACCGTATATGGTGCCATAATGCTGACAGTCACTGATGACATCTACAATCATACATTGTTTCCAATTGCAGGGACGAGTCTGGTGTCGCAGTGAAAGAGTCAAACGCGAACAATGGTGTCACTGCAGATGATCCAGTAGTGCAGCCGGGAGTTGATAATTGTGCATTTGAAGATGAAGACCCACACATGTACGGTATAATGTAATAATGTCCTGAATTATGACTCGACTTAAAGGGAGACACAACGGCTCGGGGCAGCTTGCAGTCAAAGAAAACTTGACTCAAGTCATTTAAGATTATTTGTTTATGCATTACAGTGATAAATGGCATCTGTTTATTGAGTAATGATTGCCCTACATTAGGACACAGTCTTAGTTTAACGAATGACCCGGAAATGGACATCGGGGAATTTAACAGTTAAATTAACAATTAACAATTAATTAACAGCTTTGAATTATATTATACCCTTTATTCCTGCTTGGCATATTTGTGTATCACAGCCGAGAGTGCTACATCAGCTGTATGTCACTGAACGTATCCATATCGCCGGTCGTAACGTCACTGTCATTTCTGTCACATGTAACATTTGACAGAAGCCAACTTAATTTCTCCTAATCACGTCGTTCCACAACATCACAACACAACACAGTTTACTGGAATACGCTTGTGAATCGACAAAAGAACTGTATTCAAAGAATCTACTGTCTCACTGTTGAAATTGTACTGCATTTTATTTCCTTCCCTTGACCACGTATAATCCTTTTCAGCTTTGAGTTTCTTCAAATCAGTAGAAGCTTGACTAAACTCTTGTCGTAAAGCACCGAGCTCGGAGTTAAAGGATTCTTCCAGTTGATCTTTATTAGCATTCAGCTGTTTCAAGATGGCGTCTAATTTGGCGTCTGTGTCCATTTTAAAGATGTACGGTCTTGTTTGCACATTAGTGTATCACAGCTGAGAGTGCTACATCAGCTGTATGTCACTGAACGTATCCATATCGCCGGTCGTAACGTCACTGTCATTTCTGTCACATGTAACATTTGACAGAAGCCAACTTAATTTCTTCCTAATCGTCGTTCCACAACATCACAACACAACACAGTTTACTGAAATACGCTTGTGAACTCCGACAAAAGAACTGTATTCAAAGAATCTACTGTCTCACTGTTGAAATTCCGTAAAATGTATTTTATTTCCTTCCCTTGACCACGTACAACTCCTTTTTCAGCTTTGAGTTTCTTCAAATCAGTAGAAGCATGACTAAACTCTTGTCGTAAAGCACCGAGCTCTCGGAGTTAAAGGATTCTTCCAGTTGGATCTTTATTAGCATTCAACTGTTTCAAGATGGCGTCTAATTTGGCGTCTGTGTCCATTTTAAAGATGTACGGTCTTGTTTGCATTAATTAGCGTATCACAGCTGAGAGTGCTACATCAGCTGTATGTCACTGAACGTATCCATATCGCCGTATCGTAACGTCACTGTCATTTCTGTCACATGTAACATTTGACAGAAGCTTCAACTTTAATTTCTCCTAATCACGCGTCGTTCCACAACATCACAATTGATCGTCTACAGGTACGAGGAGCCGTTATCGGATCCCTCAGTTGAATCAGAGTATCTTGCAATGGGGGGAGAAAACCACGCTGACCAGAATTACGAAAACCAAGGCGCAGAGCCTGACGATGAAGACCAACCGGTGTATGAAGCCATGGAGATACCAGGCAACAAAGGCAGCAAGCTGTCATTCAATATGCAATCAGTGCCTGATCACCCCAACATGGACGGAGAATGTTAGACAATCAGTTGACCTGAAACGTGTGTATGAAGAAGCGTGCCTTTCTTGCAGCTGCCTCGACGGAGAATGTTTGACTGTCAGTTGGCAAGTGGCAAGACGCTGGTTCTAACTGGTTCTAACTGGCTGCAGCAGTGGTGAATGTTTCATTACACTTACAACAAGTGAATGAGGACACATAGACTCAAGTGAAATGAGGTGCTTGTGAATGTTAGGGAATCATTTGACATACAACTAGTGTATGGAGACACGGGATGTCAGACAAAAAACATTAATATGCAAAAAGGAAGTTTTCTTACAACGATGACAAAGAGAAGTGTATCATGCTTACGAATGGTTCATGCTAGGCTGTCATTTGACAGAAAACACGTTTATAAAGCTAAGTATATGTTTCACAAATGTTAGAGAACGGGAAGTTGGTAAACAGAAGAAAATGCTTACGTACATGATTAGTTAGTTGAAACAGAATTTTATGGTTTAGCTGAGTGAAGTGAGTGATGTTTCTTTGATATTGTCACTCAGAATTTGTACATATATTTCAATCATCCGTACCTGCCAGCTGTATATAGTTTAAATTTGAGCTCAGGAAGCGCTTTGAGCATATCCCTGTGACGTGGAAAGGCGCTATATAAATGGCCTATTATTATGATGATTATTATTATTACGTAAATAGCTCATGTCACATGTAACCCGTAATAGCTCAGGTGTATGTCATTTGGTCATAAAAATATGTAATTTCATTGTTAATAACTCAACATATATCGGGTTTTGAATATTTAAGTTGGTTTGTTTTTAACGGGTTTTTCGCCAGTAAACCAGAACCGCCAAACCAGTGACTGATATTATGAACAAATACCCATACAGTCCTGATACGATGACACGCTATTACCTAAGGTCCCCTACCACTTACAAGAGGCCAAGTTGGTTTGCGTAATGTACGAGGGGCGTTCAAAAGTAGTCGGCCTAACTATATTCTTGATATCTAATGTTTGAAAATCTTCCATTTCATTTTGCAAGAATCATTGACAAAGCCATATCCAAAACTTCACATATGTGGGTAAAGTGGTTAACGAGATATTAGGCGTCACAACACATTGGGGTATAATATTTCTTACAAAATTGCAGTATATGAAAAACGATCTGCCATTTGGTACCTCTTGTATAACGGTATGCCCTGAGATAATACCATATGAAATACGTTCGGTATAGTATAGACGTCCCGTCATAATCAACACTCAAAGATTTGGATTGATTGATATATATTTTGACGGTAGCTGTTTCTTAAGGACAGCACTATTTTAATCTCTCAAAAACATTGTGACCATTCAGTATTTATTTCGAACCCTTGGCAACATGTATGAATACGTATTGCTGTAAATACAAAACATTAAGTGCCTAATTTTATGGACAACTCAAGGTTATTCCTAGATAATATTCATATAGTCATCTTGCTTCTACTGTAAGGTTCATAAAATATGCAGGTCTCGATTTTAGTAACATGTAATGATATACACAAAAGAGTTACACATAACATGGTCATGACACTATGAGCATCGATCTTCGAAAGTGGGATACGATGGCATGCATCAAACAAGTAAGTGAGAATGACCACCTAATCACATGAATTCCCTCTTACGACAACATGGGTTGCTGAAGATTAATTTTTACCCAACATAATTGTGAACCTGTTAATGGTTAAATGCATACATTAGTAAGTCTCATGCTATGGATTGTAGATCATTCCAAACGCTATTATTGACAAAACAATGTATGTCGCCAATATCAACTGGTCTCCGCATAAATCGTACCTCAGAGAGACAACTGTCAAGTTGCATTTAATAACTGTCATCAGCTATTCAATACACGCACAGAAGTTGGTATATACGTTGACAGACGCTTTCGATTAGATTTTGCGCAGAAAGCCTTGAAATCGTATATACATATTTACAGTAGTGGGTGACCTCGTCTAGATGGATACTAAAAGACCAGCTGTAGTTCATTTTCCGATTTCAGTATGTCGCATGACTACGTTGTCCTTCAAGCAGAAAGTTAATGAATTGACAATAGTTATCGCATCATGGAACGTCATGACAATACAACGTCAAATACTGACAGACCTCACCAAGATGAACACTACCAAGTCGGCTGTAGTCAACTGCATTGTTCCAACAGATATCATAAAGACACCAGCTGTGAGCAGCAGAGCGTGTTTTAAATGAAGGACATCTTCTGCTTGCCCAGATCTATATATATATTTATTTTCCGAAATACTAATGCTAATGTTATTATGAGATTAGGTTTGTTAAATGCGTTTCCCTCCTTGTAAGAACCACAGTCGCTCTGTATCGCTGGGACCTTACACATGCCAGTTGACTGCCTCATACTCCAAACTTTCGGCCCTATCCTTTGTGTAATGCAATAGTCCAAAATGAAGCCAGTCTAGACCCCCACTGGTTCTGAATCTCCCAGCTCACTGGGGCTAGTTCAGTATTTACGGAGTTATATATTTCTATCAAAATTTCTTAGTTTCAGAGACTTACGCTTTGAATATATTACGCCAGGATCCTGTAATATGGATCCAAACATGCCACGGATATGCTTATTGGTGTTTCAAGACCATATCTATATTTCTGAATTTCTTCCTCATTAAACAACTATTAAACTTGCACTCTGTGTAGCCTGTTTATGGCATTGGGTTTTGTGCGTGTGTTTGTTTGTTTCTTTGTTGCTGTTGTATGGGCTGGGGCTATTCAACATGAAATCCACCTAAACAGGATTAATTGATTATTTTCTCACTAACACAGAAGTAGCAAATAAAGTGACAAAGTACCATAAGCTCCCGTGTGTTCCTGGTGACCTGATTTTATGTGTGCGTGCGTGCGTGCGTGCGTGTGTGTGTGTGTGACGGGTACTAAAGGTAGGGCAAAGTGGTGTAACCTTTTCCGCAAACACACTTCAAATGAAGATGGGTGTCTTTTCCCAGCTAGCACATCAACGTTGTTTCAACGTTGAGAATAGGTTGGTCCTCAACGTTAACGTTAGATTGAAAATAGGTTGTATATGAAAGTTTTTTAGACGTAGATATCCGACGTGGAATCAACGTTGAAGTTTGACATATTATTAACGTTGAAAATGGGTTGTTCCGTGGTTGTGTATGGGAGGTTTTTCTTAGAAATCTAACGTAAACACATGAAAATTCAACCAAGGTTACAATACTTGTATTCCGCTTTCCTCTAAATAGACTCGCATTTCAACTTTAAGCTACACTAAAGTTGCACCAAACTCGTCCATCCAATTAAAATACCCAAAAAGGCTACCTGTAATATACAGTGTTCAAACAGAAAATTGCAGTAAAAATATTTACCTGATAAAATACTTGGTTAAAATTACACATTCAATATAATGTCCATTTAAGTTTTATGTCAGTTGGACGTATAATTCCAGTAAGAAGGAAAGAGTATTCCAAATTAAGAAAAACGTTTTATTGTTGCATTGTTATCTTGTTATGAGATAGGGCATATTCTGAAATATTTATATATACATGTTTAATTTTATATGGAAGATATATTGTCTCAAATGATTCATGTATTTGTTTAATCAATCTCTTGAAAGGTTCATTTCACTTATGTAACTTGGCATGTGAACATATGTAACATGTATATGAACAGCATCCATACAAAATATGAGGAAAAGTACTTTCATAGTGTAAACAATTTATATTTTTAACTACAGGAATGGAAGTTTTCTTAAACATTTTCAAAGAAACTCCTCAATTGCAAGTTGATTACTCAATTAGACTATGAATTAGGATGAATTAGACGACGCTTTACTGTCATATATTATTTGCTATGGTCATGATGAAAATGCTGACAAAGAGCATTTGGTAATTAACTTACCAGAGATGACTGAATACAACCTTGTATTCTTAAAAGAAAACTTGCCGTTTTGCCCATCAACATTCATTCTTGACATCAAATTGTGTGACATTGTCCTGCAAAACAATGGAAGTTTGTTGTTATTCTGTCAGATTTAGTTTTCTTTAGACATTCCCGGAAATGATTATTTCAAATTAAATAGGAGTTGTACTGATGTAGCAATTTGGCTATCAGGAGTCATATATTATAACAAAAGCCATTTTCACATTAACTGATGAGAAAACAAAATGGGTGGTAATGAAAGGGCATTATCATCTTTCTCTTAAACGTTGTGATGGATATGCTGGCAAACAAGTGAAATGTTACAAACTTGTTACCTTAGCATTGGTCCTTTTATGTGATCCGCAAAAGTGATGCCACCCAATCTTCGAAGATGAGATTTTCGCAAATTCCATTAAAGATAAATCCTATTTTTCATAATTAAATGTTCTTTACTAAGTTACTTCTTTTATATGTAACATTTTAACCATTAAGAGATATAAATCATCACATCCCTTCCAAACAAGTGTAAGAATGAAAGTCTATGGGTGCAGTTTTGTAAATTGTCCCATCAAAGATTCATTAGTGAAGTTACACAGTGTCACAAACACTTGCACAAGACATTTTGATGTGAATTTTCGTTGCATGATCTGAGAAAGATTGCCTTTCGCCATTCTCCATCCCCCATCCCCCAAAGAATATACATATGCTGACAGGGTTCAGAGCGTGCTCAATGCACAATTTACTGATAGATCTATTCAAATGAACAAATGTTCATTATAATGTGATGTAATATAAAATATTGATATATCTATTCGATTTTGTATAGCTGCCCTTAGGGACCGTTCATAATTTATGGCTAGGGGGTGATGATGATTTTTATGGAGAAGTATGTACAATGAAAAAAAAAAATTGTATGTACAAAATAAGTGACCCCCCCCCTGCATGCCATGTAGTAAATTAATGACCCCCCCTTCCCATAATTTCTAAGCATCATTTTAAACAGTACGTGTGTACAAATTTGCTGACCCCCCTAGCTCACCTGAACAAAATGGGTGACCCCCCCTTAAAATCATCAAATCACGCGCACGCACGCACGCGCGCGCGCACACACACACACCAGCCATAAATTATGAACTGTCCCTTATATAGATGTTATTCATTGATTACTTGAAAATGTATATTTGCAAAATTCAAATCAGGTGATGGGTACGAAAGGAAATCTTATTCGATTATATAATAAAATGCCACATATATGCATGCAAATCCATTGAAAAATAACAAGCATTGTCACTAACGTGAAATAATCGCCCCCCGCAAATTATCAAATCAAACTTAAAAGGTAATGAAAGTGAAGGTCGTAATTTAAGATGAAGTTAAATGTAAACAAAAACATGACCAGTCAACCTCTCTTGATATCTTGCTCTGTAGTTGTTCTAACGCACAAATATTTTCAAGACTCACTTTGACCTTGACATGAATGTCTTAGTGTATGAAATATGCAAAAATAGTAATAAAGAAATTGCTTATTGAAAAACATTCAAGGGAAGTCTTGAAAGTCTCTGAAGGAAATCCAGTGACTTGTTCTTGAGATATCTCGCTGACAATCTTTACATGCAGGTTAACATGCTGAAATCTTTAAAGTGTCGCTCTGACCTTGAAAATAATGTGAAGGTCACCAAAATCGACTGGGCCTTGCACCTTCTCCAGATGAAGCTTGGCGTTGAATATGAAGAAAACGGTGAAACGGTTCTTGAGATATCTCGCTGACTAAAACGTTAAAGTCCCGTTGTGACCTTGGAATGAAGGTCAAGGCCACCAAACCAGACTGGGACCTTTCTTTTACCCTGATGAACCTAGGTA